AATTATTTATCTAGAGATATTGCTTAGGATTTAAAAGTTGTAAAATGATGTCATGGGGTAGGACTAGATAAGTCTAACTTCTTCCTACTTCGTTCAAGCATGTACTAGGTATAAGTAAATTGATATTGGATTATTATTGTTGGATATGTGTGAAATTACATGTGTTGACATATCAACTGTTTTACATGCTTGAATGAATAAATCAAATCAAATCCTTGGTGGAACATTCACAAGCTGTCCAATTCAAATTATAGGCATATAGCTTGTTTAAAACTAGTTCTACCTTTGCCAACTGCGACTTTGAATGTTGAGTTTATCAGTAATAATGTATCAATAACTACAGTTCAGTAATATATTAGATATGAATGTTAAATGTGTTATTCTCCATACTGAGTATTTTTAGTTTTAGTATGTTTTGATGATAATACACTTGCACTTTAAGTAACATTTTGAATGCAGGACTTTCACTTGTAACAGATTATTTGTACGTTGTGGTATTGCTACTTTTACTTACAGTAAGTTTACAATCTGAGTACTTCTTCCACCACTGTTTTTTACAGTATCTGAAGCAGTGGCTCAGAGGGGGGTCTCACCCGGAGAGTAATTCAATGTAGAACTGCCACTGATCTGAAGTAAGAGTCAAGGGCCCATGGACAAGATCTCAAGATATTCTTAAACAAATATCAGGGTCTTGTGTTTAATAATGAAAAAAAAAACATGGCACCCAGTGTAGTGTTGTGTGCATATATGAGGATAAATTAATGAATAAATTAATCCAAGACTGACAGATTGACAGACATTGATCATGCGCAGAGGCAATTCATTGTTGGTTTTAGTCTCTATATGGGGACTGTTGAAAAGACTGTTAATATAGAAAATGGCTGGCCTTATCCTTTAAGGTAATGTTGTGGCAACAGAATTTAAACAAAGGCCATTAATTTTATGCAGTGTTTTTATTTATTTCCAGTACACTTGCATGATGACTGACTGAGGATACCCTTAACTCCAGGACTACACAGAAAGGTATCTATTATTTTTCTCCTTAACATACGTTACATTTTAAGAATATCCACACACAGATCTAATGCGCAGGTGGACTTTTCACAAATATATGTCATGAACAGTTTCTACAAAAAATAGAAACATTCACTCTATAATAAATGCAGTCTAAAGCAGAGGGGTAATTCTATTATTTAGCCTAGGCTCACTGATATAAATGGGGTGGACAAAATAATAGAAACACCTGTCAGTATACAGTAATGAAGTACTGTTCAGCACAAACTACACCCTCCAAAAAGATGATGCAACATGATCTCATTCATGAAGGAGGATTTACTGCAAGACTGCCTCATTAGACTGCATTAGTTTTAGTTTGGTGTTCCTAATAAAGTGAGAATTTAGTGTAGTCAAACATTTTCACAATTTTCAGCAGAAAACAGGACAAACAAGGATCTCAGTCGACTGACGCCTCAGTGCCAAAAACCTCTCACTGAGGTAGGAACTGTAACAGACGAGCCGGGTCACAGGCAAACACTGTATCAGTAAATAGAGACATCCTCATGAATGCTAGCATCTTTATATTGGTCTTCAAATTCAAATTCACCCTACTCGTTTCATTTAAAATACCACATGTACTTTAGATAAAGTACACATTTTCTTTAAATACACTGTTCACAAAATAATTAAGAGCTTACAAACTATTAGTGGCATTTAGTTTGCACTGTTTTGGGCACCAAAAACAAACAGTTACAATGCAGGAGGTCACCTACTTGCCAAATTATATGGGGAATACAATAAGGAACAATTAAAGGGCTTAGTCTCATATAAAAAAACAAAAAACAAAGAGAGTCATCTTACTACACATTAGCAAATCAAATATGTACAAATCTACATTATAGGCACTTTAATTCCAAACAGTTCAGGAAGCCCTCAGAGTCATCTTTGATAATACAACATCACACAACAGTTACTTTTTCCTTTAAGAAAGAAGATTAAACTAGATGACAACAGAAAGCCCAGATACAGACGTGAGCCCTAATAACCACATCAGTAGATTTGGCCGCATCAGTCACTCACCACACACACACACACACTTACACATGTAAATACACACACAGGAGACCTGCAGCTTCCAGGTATAAAGACAAAACATTTGCTACAGTACAGGGAGGAGATAGCTTTAACATGCGCACACTGTAGAGGTCAACAACCTCCTGGAATGAACACCCACTTCCCTCATGAATTCCCTACTGTACAATGTGCATGGAGTAGTTTTTAGGAAAACGTGCATAACAACAGCATTTCACCACCGAGCAGTCCTATTAAGATCAAGGCAAGAGAATCATTAATGCCACACCACAAAAAATAAATCATTATATAAATAAATAATTTTAGTTAAATAAATACATCATTAATTAAAAAGACGAGAAGAGGCAGGCAGTGCTGAACTTTAGGATAGCAGAGATGCTCCTAAACTTTGTAATGGAAGCTCCCTTTACTGATTCATCTGATTTTCTTTAGTCTATCGGAATAGTGTGCTGTACAAAAACTGTGACAAATGCCAATTACAATGTCCAAAGCCCAAAGGTATTCTCTTTACTGCCATATATGACAAAGAAAAGCAGAAAATCCTCAAAATTGAGAATCTGAAACCAGTGTTCAGTGTTTTTACTTGAAAAATGAAACAGCAACATAAGAGACAATTCAACAAACGGCTTGCAAATTAAAGTAACTGCCATTTAGCTTTCTGTCCATTAACTAGTTGATTCATAGCAAATTTACCCACAGTCTAGTTGTGGAAAATATTTGCTGTTTTTAGTACCGCTCATATGAAGAGGCCACTGTCCTCGTCTTGTTGCTCCATTCTTAGCCAATCAAAATCCAGGGTTTCTCCTTTTTGAGCCTTCTCCACCAGTGAATTTTGAGCAGGAGGTCAACATTAGGTCAAGTCAACCAGTCTGTGGATACATTAATGAGATTAGTAATATCCTCTGGTCTAAATGCTCCTTAAGTGGTACCAGAGTGAACTGCCCTGTATGATACATAATGAAGATTATCTTATAAACACTCTAAGGAGCTAGACAGATATCTTTGATCAGGCACAACTTCACCACAGAGAAAAGCGTAAGCTGTATATAAAACAGTTTTAGTGATCACCCCACACAGCCAGGAGGAGTATGGGGCCTTCAGAGAGGTCAGATACAGTATCAGCACTGCCATATCAACACAGTAGTACAAACTTAGCAGCAATACTACACTCCCATTTTGCAAGTCTCTTCAAATGGTGGCTAAATTTGCATCTTGCTGAAGTTTTAAGTAATCTATAAACTGGAGGTGCTCTTGATTTACCGTACCTTAGCTTAAATAGAGTGTGTTCACATTCAAGATGACAGGAATTCACCAAAAGGTGATGTAAATCAAGCTCACCCCAATTTTGTCACCAAGAGGAGACTATTTTAAAACTGCATGTTAGAGAGGCAGCCCTGTCAGCATGGAAGAAACGGTTTTCTTATGAAACCAACTGAGATGATTTGTGATTTCTGAAACAACAAACTGCGTCCTGTTAGCCAAGCCTTCTTACATTCTGTGCCTGTGTGGCTCTGAGTGTGGTGGAGAGGGTGGCGGGGGCAGGGTGACTGTGGCTGGGGGCTCTACTGGGTCATCTATGGGCAGGACAAGACGGGTGCCCCTGATTGCCACTTCATTTTCTGCCAAGGTGAGCTCATGATCCAGACCTTCGTCAGACGGGCCGACCCCAGTGCTGGCGATGGAGGAGCGCTTGCAGTTGACAGCATATGATCCAGATGCATCCGTGCTGACGGTGACATCAGCGTACATGGAGCTGGCATCATTCAGGATGAAGTCAGAGTCATCATCGTTAAGCTGACCTTCATTCTAGTGGGGGGTGGGGGGCAAGAACACAGAAATGAAGATGAGTAAAATCATACAATTTGCAAATCTCTGTACTTTATGTGGTCAAACAAGTTACTATTTGAGGACGTAATAAAGTGACATTTTAACTGTGTTATTGTGTCCAGACCTCATAAGCCTGTGGGCTAGTGAGGCATCGTGCCAGCGGGCCACAACATGCCGGCAGAGTAGCAGTGAGAGGAGGGCCGCTGTGGGTCAGGAGGGGTTTCAGGTAGCTGGTGAACAAGTTTCTGTCAAGGACCAAACCATTTTAAAGACACTTACTTGCTAATTAGTGAGCAATCTAGTCTAGCTCTACCCATTCTGATTCAATACAGCTTTTCACCCACAAAAACTGAAGAAATATTGTGCAGAAAAAACTTTATAAGTACCTTATCATGAAACTTGACCACATTTCACATAGCTCTGTTGTCTTATCTTTAACCTGCATGTACAGATGGGTCTAGTTACTGCTGTTAAAAGAGCACCCTCTAGTGTTTGAAGTTGTACATAGCATTTAAAGTTCTAAAGACATTGTTTCCAATACGTGATCCATGGCTCAAAGGATACTTGTGGTCAAAGTTATACCAGATCCTGAAGGGCCAGGCGCTCTCGTGTTTGTTGTTCCTCCGTTGTGACCCAGAACTCTGTTAAGCAGAAAAAGCAGAAATATTTATTCTTCCATCACTGAAGCATTCTTGCTAAAACATAAAGAGATTTTAATCTGTAGTGATTACTTACAGAGTTTTCTTGATCGGGGTCCACACCCACCCTGAAAGAGAAAAAGTAGCTATGGTGAATTTGACAGAAAAACACTGAATATTGGGGATGAAAAACACAGACAGAGAGATAAACATCTACAGATGCACAGGCTTACGGTATCTTCATGAAGGACAGCATGGGTGTGGTGCCACCTCCACAGACCCACACAGTGAAGAAGACAATGAGGAGATTGGTTGAAAATATCATCTGATGGGCATAAGTCGCTGTGTCTCGGATAGAAAGGGCAAAGGTCATTGCTCCACGCAGACCTGACGATGAGAGAAGATACAACGGTGTGAGGACAAGAACACGTTTCACCGATGAACAGTGTGAGAGGAACCCAGAGTTGAGTTTGCAGTGGCTTCAGAAAGTATTCACACTCATTCACTTTTTGCACACTTTGTACTGTAGATATAATATTCCATCAGTGCACACTCAATAACCCATTATAACAAAACAGAAACCTGTTTTGTTGTTTACTAAAGTATTCAAACCCTTAACTCAGTACTTTGTAGAAGCCCCTTTGGCAGCAATCACAGCTTCAATCTCTACAAGCTTTGCACACCTGGATTTGGGCAGTTTATCCCATTCTTCCTGACAACTCCTCACATGCTCCATCAGACTGGAACTGTCTGAACTGCCATCTCCAGGTCCCAGCACACAGCTCTGTTGGAGTAACATTTGGGTTCCTGGCCACCTTCCTGATCAAGGCCCCTTTTGCCTGATTACTTTGGTTGGTTGGTCAACTCTATGAAGAGTCCTGGTGGTTTCAAACTAATGACTAAGGCCACTTTGCTCCTGCGAACACTCAGAGCCTCAGATCTATGCCTCACCACAATTTTGTCAGAGAAGTCTCAAGAGAATTTGATGGACATTGTTGTTTGACATGTAGTTTGAATTTAAAATTAAACCTAAAATACAATAAACTTCAAAAAGTAAAGGGGTGTGAAAACCTGATGACTGCAGCATTAACTCAGAGTCACAGAACCTGTTCAGCTTATCTGAGTGTCGCGGTTTTTGGTTTGTTTTCTCCTAACTACTGCAGTTACTTGGTAACCAGCACAGTATGCTGATATGGGTGTTTTGTTTTTTCCTCTCAGTGCTGGTTGTATAAGCGTCTATCACCGTAGTGTGTAACAGTGCTAATGAGGTATGTTAAAAAAAAAAAATCAAACGTTTAGAGAATGTCCTGTGAGAAAACAGTTGAACTTTTCTGAATAATTAAGGAAATCACCCTGTGGGTTTAAACACGGAAACAATTATGAGCAGAGACATGTTGTGGATTTCTGTTATTAGCCTGTTTCGACAGTAAATGCCAGGGGATGTTAATAACGATACTGTTTCTGAGTAGAAGTGTTGTCGGTACAGAAGCAGACTTAGTGACTAATGTTTTTAAACTTGCACTGACAGGTTTTTTTGATGGAACCAGGTGCCAGGTTAGCAATAGTTTACTCAGTTTGGATCCAAGCCTGAGAAACTTTAGAGAACGTTACATACCTGCAAACATCATGACGTGCTGGAAGTTGAATCTGATCTTGTTTTTGCGGCCCAGGTTGAGCAGGAAGGACAAAGGGTAAATGTTTGCTGCTCTGCCCAGAAACACTGCCAGCTATACCACACAGCAGGTCAAGGACACAACACAGTGGATCTACATAGCAGGCAGGTTGGAATGGAAAATAATTCTACTTGTTCTGTTATTATTGGGATCCCCGAAAGACTGAATAAAATATACTAGCAACAGTACTGGTGCCAGTATCTAGCATTAGAATCATGACATATGTTTTGAAATGGCAACAGACTGTACTGTAAATATAAGAGCAGTAATCAACTGTCTGGGACCATGAATGAACAGCATCATTTACTACTCTAAAAGAACAATTGGTAGTAATGTGGAACAAATCTGTTTGTCATCTCTGGAGTGCCACAAAGGCCTAGATTTGTTTGTGTGGTGCAGAGTAAAGGATACAAAGGCTCCAATGATGAACAAAGGGTTGAAAACATGTGACTGGAAGGAGAACAGAGTGAGGCCCATGTACGAGAAGATGACGTTCTCTGCCAGGAAGTTCAGCAGCTCAAATAACTGGTGGGGAAAACACAAACATATACAGTACTGTAAATAATGTCAACAGACAGAAGGAAAACTGAAACTTTCACACTGCGTTCATGTCACTTTGGATCTAAGGTTGCACTGGGGATGTTTGTTGTAAACTTTGCAAGCATTCACTTTGTCATGTGGTGATACATTATGTTGCTGGGGTCAGTGTTATTAGCCTTTACATTCCTCCACTAGGTGATATTGTTAAAAACTATCTATGCTCAGCAGTGTCCAGATGACGGCGATCTGCAACCATCAGGTCTATCAGCTCTCTGCTTCAGTGCATAAATGACAGTTTGTTGGTTTTCTTCAACTTAACAAAACCAAAACTGACATTTGTACTAAAGCACAGATATTTCAAAACGTCCTCTCTTGTGAGGATTTTATCTGTGTGTAAATGGTTGTTTCTGTGTGTCAGCCCTGTGATAGACTGGCGACCTGTCCAGCGTGTACCCCGCCTCTCGTCCAGTGTCTGCTACCACTGACTCCAGCCCTCCCATGACCTTCTACAGCCTGAAGAGTACAATCAATGGATGGAAGGTATACAGTCTTATGCAAAAGTTTAGGCACCCCTTGATAAATAACAGATTTTGGTGATTTTTTATTTGAACAGATGTTAACACAGTTTCTCTTGGAAATGGAAAAAATGCACAATATTTTCAGCAAACAGTGATGCATAGTTACTTCTTATGCCATAAATTGAACAAAAATAAAAAATAAAAACATTATTATGGCATGGTGCAAAAGTTTGGGCACCCTAAGAGTTCCAGAGTCTCAAAGTCTCTCACAAGGTTTCAGACCTTAATCAGCTCATTAGATCTGATGCACAGCAACAGCTGTCATTGGTAAATGCCAATTTCAAAGCTGTACAAATACCTTGACTCTTCAAACCTTGTGCACACACTTGTGGACACCCAGCAACCATGGGTTCCTCTAAGCAGCTGTGTAAGACCCTGAAAATGAAAGTTATTGATGCCCACAATGCAGGAGAAGGCTACAAGAAGATAGCAAAGCGTTGTCAGCTTGCAGTTTCCACAGTAAGAAATGTAATTAAGAGATGGCAGATCAGGGGAACTGGGGAGGTCAAGATGAGATCTGGAAGACCAAGAAAACTCTCGGACAGAACTGCTCGTATGCTGGTCAGAAAGACAAATCAAAACCCACATTTGACTGCAAAAAACCTGCAGGAAGATTTAGCAGACTCAGGAGTGGTGGTGCACCGTTCCACTGTGCAGCGATGCTTGCACAGACAAGGCCTTCATGGAAGAGTCAGCAGAAGAAAACCTTATCTGCGTCCCCATCATAAAATCCAACGTCTGAAGTATGCAACAGGACATCTACAGAAGCCCGATGCGTTTTGGAAACAAGTGCTGTGGACTGATGAAGTTAAAATAGAACTCTTTGGACACAATCAGCAAAGGCATGTTTGGAGAAAAAAAGGAGCAGCATTTCATGAAAAGAACACCTTGCCAACTATTAAGCATGGGGGTGGATCTATCATGCTCTGGGGTTGTGTTGCAGCCAGTGGCACAGGAAACATTGCACGGGTGGAGGGAAGAATGGATTCCACTAAATACCAGCAAATTCTGGAAGCAAACATCACACCATCTGTAAAAAAGCTGAAGCTGAAAAGAGGATGGCTTCTACAACAGGACAATGATCCTAAACATACCTCGAAATCCACTATGGAATACCTCAAGAGACGCAGGCTGAAGGTTTTGGAATGGCCATCACAGTCCCCTGATTTAAACATCATTGAAAATTTGTGGGTAGATCTTAAAAGAGCTGTGCATGCAAGACGACCAAAGAATATTACAGAACTAGAAGCCTTTTGCAAGGAAGAATGGGAGAAGATCCCAAGTACAAGAATTGAAAGACTTTTAGCTGGCTATGAAAAGCGTTTGCAAGCTGTGATATCTGCCAGAGGAGGTGTTACTAAGTACTGATTGTGTAGGGTGCCCAAACTTTTGCACCATGCCATAATAATGTTTTTATTTTTTATTTTTGTTCAATTTATGGCATAAGAAGTAACTATGCATCACTGTTTGCAGAAAATATTGTGCATTTTTTCCATTTCCAAGAGAAACTGTGTTAACATCTGTTCAAATAAAAAATCACCAAAATCTGTTATGTATCAAGGGGTGCCTAAACTTTTGCATAAGACTGTAAACACCAAACCTCTACAGCCTGAAGAGCACAATCAATGGATGGAAGGTATATGTACTAGTAATGGCAATATTTGTCTTTCTAAAATGTGTAAAGTGTTGCAAAGCAGTGATTAGAGATGTTTTAATATACTAGCCACAAATAATGAGCGTGAAAGCATTTCACCTGTTTGGTCCTGTCCTGAGATTCGGAAGAGAGATTGTTGTAGGTGTAATGAGCCTGAGTTATCCCACAGAACAGCACAGCTACTACGCCTAAAAGCAACACACAGAGTTACCGCAGCATTACTCAAAACACGCTGAATTACATGCAAGTCACAAGTATTCAAAGAGCAGCATTAATTCTGTCAGTGAAAACAGACAAAGAATATTTGTTACACCCTTAAATAACATTTAAAAAAAAAACCTTTGCCTGTGTCTGAGGCTAATCTTGTGATTTAGGAAAGAAACGCCTAGCTCAGATGTAACTAATGCATGTAAATCACATAGTCTGAATGGGTGAATGGTTCATTTTTAGGCCGTTAAATTTTGTAAGAACAAAACATGAGACTGCTAAAAATACACCAGTTCTTGGTGAAAGGTCACAGTACTGGTTTCATAACACAGGGGAAAAATGACTAACCTTAGATGAATCTGATAAAATCATAATTAAGTAGAACTAGAGTCACCTGTCTATTGTTTACTATTACCTATTTTAAAATCAAATGCTCATAATATCACAAGAAGTAATGTATATTTTTGTCAAAGGCCTAAGACTGGCAATAAATCTAAATCAGATGCCTAAACCGACACCAGCTAAACTGTATGCACGAGTCCTGGGTGCAGGTGTAGCCCACCTGTGAAGCCACAGGCCTCGGCTAACAGGAAGGTGCTCCAGGACATGAGGAAGAAGAGAGCGGTCTCCAGAAGGGAGAAGTCCCTCAGCTTAGTGAACTTGGTCACGTGATAAAAATTGAAAGTCAAGAAGCAAAACAAAAACCAGCATATCTGCAGTGCACCTGCAGCCTTCACAAGTGAAACCAATAACATAGAAATGTACTGTGTTAAATGTGAACCACATTTTCTAGGCAAGACAATCATATGTTCCATTTTATTACACAGCAATACAAGTCAGAGTAGGGTAACTGTTTTAAATCCTGTAGTGTTGTTCTGTTGCTCTTTAAGCATACCTGTGCATATAAATGTACATTACTTAATGGTAAGAAACAGGTGAAAGGATATAAGAGCAGTCATGACTCCAGTGGCCACTCCAAGAGCCAAGGATCCATTGAAGATGACCAGGAAAATGCCAAAGGATTTCAACATGGCCATGGCTTCAAAGCTGTGGCTGTTGTCTCCTTCAGGCTGGTACGCCACAATGGAGCTGAAGAGCAGAGAGAAAAACAGAAATAAAAACATTTACATGAAAAAGGAACTAGACATCCAGAAGGGGAAACTGGTCAAAAGTTAAACACATGCTCAAAAAAAGACACACAGAAAGGTTTTGGTGTCAGATGTAGTCAGGCACCAAGTTAAACCCACAGCAACCCAAATCCAGTTCTGATTTTGATTAAATTTACCAGAATTTGATTAGAAAGCATAACCAAGATGGATCACACGTGGATTGAGGTTGGGTTTACCTTATCAGAATCTTGCATGCTTAATTGAAATTTGATTTCTCAAATCTTATTTGATATCCAGCACATACTAATAAGTACAGAAACAGCCAGTTCAGGCACTACCTGTTTATGAGTAGCAGCTCCCATTTAACACAAGACTAACAAAGCATAACAGCAGTACTAATATTCGGCAGTAATAACTCTTTTGCACACCTACATTACCAGAATTGATTAAAAATGCTTTTTTTTTGTTCATTTACGAGGTTGATAAACCATTGACAAAACTGAAAAATGATACAAAGAATGGATACAAAAGGGCTGCAGGGTCAGGGAAGGGAAGGGGAGGGCATTGAGCATCCTAATGGTGGTTCAGGTCTACACTCCAAAAAAAAAAAAAAAAAAATCAGCACTACATTGACTGAGCTGAGATAATCACACTACTATTAATTATGCCACCACCATCACGAAAACAGCCCACCAACCCAAACTGAGGAGCCAGTGTCTGGTTTTCTCCCAGCCATTCCTCTGCCCCCTCAGGCCCATATGGGCCATCGTGTCCTGGGGAGTGCACGGCACCAGCTCCCTGCTTACCCTGTTTCTCCAGCCGGAGGAGAACACTACATACATACGTGCAGGCAGGCGATGAATGACACGGATGGGTGAAGGAAGGTAAGCAGTGAAATGACAGGGACTGATGTTAGTAACATTAATGTCCATTCATGTGCAATGTACAACACAAATAGCTGACTTTGACAGAATCAGCAAATCAGAACTAGGATTAAATGACAGGTTCTGATTTTTTTTTTCTTCAAATCTGTCTTAAAACAATACTCCCATGCCCCTATGTACATACTGTGTCCATACAGGCCACAAACGGATCCCTTCCTAATTCAATTTTAATTTAAGTGATGGGAGATTAAATCCAGTCATTCTATGTAAAAATCAAGTTTAACTGAAGCTAATGTGAAGGTTCAACAGTCAGAGTCAGACAAAAAGAAGCAGGTACAGTATCTTCCAAATGTATAGCCTTGTAACTGCTGGAGACTCACATAAGATTCAACTGAATTTATTATCAACACATTTTTGCACAGAACAAGGGTAATGTATTTTGTTTCCAAACAAAACGTGTTAGGAATGGATCTCTTCACACCCTGTATACACAAGAGGAATGATTACTACAATGATTATTATAAATTGGTTTGAGATAGAGTTGAAAAAAAGTGAACCTATTCCATAATGTGGAATAGGGATGCACCGATACCACTTTTTTCAGACCAAGTACAAGTATGAATACTTACTTTTGAGTGCTTGCCAACACTGAATACTTAATGATGCAATGTCTCTAGTGTAAAAAAAACATCGCCACAAAAGTGCAATGACTTCAGAGACAGTTTAATTTCATGAGATTTATTTTATGATTTGGATTAAATAGAATATCTTATGCAACAGGAGGCTGTGCAAATTATCTGAAAGGTTTCTGACTGAACTGCTGTAGCCTGCTACACAGCATACAGTAGATTTTGAACCTTTTTAGGAGTGCTGCCTTGTGTTAGGATGTAATGATTTCACAACCGCCTGACCAGAACATCATAGTTTAGGGCTGCACATTATCACAGTCAGATATTTTAAAGTTTAATTTAACAAGGCTGCCTGTTTTTATGTTAAACTGCTGACTGTCTGTGGCTTCATCCTGTCCTCTCTGCTGGACACATAGCTGCTCTGCTGCAGAGGAGCTGCTCATCTCAGCCCCCAAGTCCACAAGAATTGAACCCATTTTCATGCAGAGGGTGGTATCGGACTCAACACCTGATTCTGGTATCTGCATCGGTGCGTCCCTAATGTGGAACTACTGTTGCTGTGGTAAAACAGAAGTGATGCTGCTCTGTGTGCATGCTTATTTCTGTTAATTAATGCTTACGAAGAGAGGACGATGGCCACAGCATCATTGAGGACACTTTCCCCAAAGAGTAAAGCATACAGGTCTACATCTACCTTCAGCTCATTGAAGATGGCCAGCACTGTCACTGTGACATACAGGAGGAAAAAGCAATTACATGAATATAGTACAGGAGAACAGTTTTCCAACAGTCAATGTCATATAAGCACAAAGATACAGTGCTATGCTGCCTCTTTGTTTAATACACTGTTACAGAAGGTGTGGACAGTGACAGCTAACATGGCACTGCCTACCTGGGTCTGTTGCCGAAACGATGGCCCCAAAGAACAGGCAGTCGGTGAAGTAAAACTCTCCCCCTAGCTGGCCCACAGCTTTCATGAAGGACACAAAGCCATACATGACCAACCTAAGAGCAAAGACGTACAAGTCAAAGTGTGGCATAACAAACTTACTTGATGTAATGAAGTAAAATCTTGGGTTACAAATTTCAGTCTAAATGTAATGGTAAAAACAAAACATTACTTCTGAAGTTAGTTCAGAGATGAATTAATGGCCTACCCAATAACAAAGCAGGATATAACCGTTCCCATGAAAGCGTAGGTCAGGATGGAGCCGATGTTTCTGAAAAAATGTCTCTGAGACAGACAAGGGCACAGATTCATTAAAACAGAAGCTATCTAACAGTGGTAGTTAGGCTGGGGAAATACAGATGAATGTCACTGTAATCCTAAAAAACAAACCTAAATATGTGAAAGAAATCATATGCAAAATACTTAAGAATTTTCTATAAAAGAACAGCTTATATTTTTAAATTAAATTATTTATACAATTCATATTTCCACAAATACTGAATGATAAATCCCTTTGAACCTCTTACCCTTTTCAGACTGTAACCAGCGTGGAAGATGATGGGAGGCAGCAAAATGTTGAAAAACACTTCTGGGTCAAATGTCACCTGGAGACAGTGGTAAGATATAAGTTATATACCTATCTGCAAGTAGTAGTGTCCCCATGAACCTGACTCACCTTTCCAACTTTCTTTAAAGCATAATGTATTGTCTGTTTGTGTAAGCAAATCAGTAAACCGCCCACAATTTTACATTTTTATAGACAGAGATCACATGGGAATGTTTAGGTGATTTTCCACCAAAGGTTCCAGCAGCTTTTTCCAGGCTAAAAGGTCCTCCAGCGCATTGTGATGTGTTCCCACAGCAGAGCTTAAGCCGCAGGAAGATTAAGTAAATCAGTCCAATGATGTATCAGAAGTGCCTTTTACATCATTTATATGCATGTGTAATGTCATCCTCTGCTAAAACTCCATCCTGATTATCGCTGGCCACATAAGCAAAAGTGGCAGGTTTTTAAGAATGCAAGGTGAATAATAATGCTGCAGAAAATGCTAGCATAACTGAGTCCGGTGGAAACACGGGAAGAAATGAGTTCCTGTTCCCCAGGAAAATGTGGTGGAAATGCCCCCTATGTGAAAGTCTGTAGAGGCTATTTATCACATGATATACAACCACACTGGCAAAGCAGTATTTTATCACAGAACAGTATATCCATAATACATAATTTGCTGACGTTTGGCTCCTAACAGTTGCAAATTTGACATTTCATCTGTTTATCTCCTTGCCTTTCTCAGCATCTCATCATCCTGCACTTGGTGACTTTTGCTTCGGCTGACTTCCCCCTTCAGGGTGTACTCATAGAATCGGCCGCTGACATTGACCAACAGAGACGCAGGACTGGCGTTGACAGCACAGTTTAGGATCATGTCAGTCATGCTCTGGGGCACATGGATGCCAAACCGCAGGATCACACCCACCAACAGGCCTTAGAGGACGGGGAGAAGAGAGTGGGAGTAGAGGCAGAGCAGTTAAGGATCTCTAGTAAGGATCCCTTGTGCAGCAAAATAGGGTGATATGCTATTTAAAACACCTGCCTTGGATTATTTGGGTGTGCTACATACTTTATTTAGACTGGGGTCTTTTGTAAACAAATATTAGTTGGGCCAAGTTAATTATTCTGCATGGGAGGGATGCATACTGTGAATGACTGTGCAGGTATCTGACTAGTTAAAGGGGCTGACTTGTTTTTTTCTAGCTACTGTTATAACAGTATCCTATAATTTCCAGTCATTACAGCTGTTACTAATATTACCTTATACTATTCTTTGATAGCTGACAGAATAGCATACCCTGTGAAGAAGGAACATCAAGATTCCCCAATCATAATACACCTACTATTTAGTAATAATCGTCAGTATGTATAATACTAGATAAATAATACTCTTATACAACAGTCTGTAATGTGATGCTATATCATAACTATCTCCCCCGTGTAAAATGAAACATGGGAATAGTCAAATTAGCTTAACATTATCTCTTACGTTTGAGGAATTAACGTTAACGGACAGGCATCATAGCCAGTTAGCATTAACGCCAAGTTAGGTTAACTCACTGTTACCCAACTAGTGGTCTTACCATAGATCATGGCGAGTCCTGTTTCGTGCAGGAACCTAAATCTACGGTGTTTGAACAGCCATATAGTTAAAATGGTGAGCGTTAGGAGCAGTATAAATATGAGCAGATTAGCGCTGTCCTGTCGGTGGCTCTCCTCGGCCATCCTCTCAGTTTCGGTGTTCGCACTGCTCTCTCCGCGGCTCCCGACCAACAAAAATGTCATTAAAAAAGGCAGTGAGAGGAGCGCATTTGACGGCGTGACGCCAGGAAGGCGTCTCAGTGTAGATCCCATTCTAGCTGTCCGGGAAATTGTTACATTTGATGTTTAAATAGCATCGGTTCTGATTACAAACTACTGCTTGAAGGAGAGGAGAAAATGACAGCTTCTTCTATCAAAACACGGGGACTTCCGGTTCGTCAAAAATAAAAGCCACCCCCGTAAACAGCGACGTTTCGTGGAGTTTGAGGGTTTCATGCTTGTTGTCATTATACAATACAAAATTGCACAATACTATAACAACCCACACAAGCAAAAAGACAAGCACGAAAAATTGAAATAAACAAAAATACGTAAAATAAAACAACTAGAATAAGAAATTAGTATAATAATTATAACAAGGAAGAAAAAGTACATTACGCTATGTTTTGAATGGTTACATTACAGTGGTTCCTCTTTAAGTGCGAATTGTCAATAAAATGACATAAAATGCTTGAATGAATCAGTAGGTCTACAGATCATGCAAAGTGCAGTGATGTAATTTATTATGTGTATAGCTAATATAAGACAGTGTAATTACAGCAGCCCTTCATGGTGTTTGAAGGTTGAGTTTTGTTGTCATAACACAATGCAAGATTGTACAATGAAATCCACTACAAAGAAATTGTAAAAATAACCACTAACAAGATAAGATATATGTATAATACATTTCATACACAAAGACAATTTAAGGTGCTTTAGACAACACATTAAATAATTAAATGAAAGAACAGCAAAAAACATTACAATGATCATTAAAATAATAGTAACCATTTTAAAGTCAAGTAAAATGTGCAGAACAGAGGCATAAACACGGGATAGGAGGGCAAGATGATTCATGATGAGTATTTAAGATTCAGTCAAAAGCAGTACAGAACTTAAATGACTTTAACTTGGATTTAAAGTGAGTCAAAAACCCTCTGGAAGTTTGTTTCTGCTCTGTGGTGCAGCCATTTTGTCTATTTAAGTCTTCTACCTGATGATCTGAGAGGCCCAGAGAGGGGTTATATGCTAAAAAACAATGACAGATGTATTTTTGTCCTAAGCCACTGAGAGATTTGTAGACAAGCAGCAGCACTTGAAACCCCATTCTGATACACTGGAAGCCAGTGCAGAGACCTGAGAAATGGTGTGATATGTTCGCTTTTCTTGGTCTTTGGTACAACTCTAGTAGCAGAATATATAGCTGAAAGGTCTGGAACACTGTGTGTGGCTACACAGAGACAGTACAATTCAAAGATAGGAAAAATATGAAAACAAGAAAAAGTGCACCAAAGCTAAGCTCAGCAACTTTCTTTATATAGCATGTTTTAAATACAAATGCAACAATGCGCCTAACCAATTCACAAAAGGTTATGTGCCTCACAAAAGCACTAATAAAATAAAATAAAAAGGAAACCAAGGCATTTGAAACTACTCAGAGTTAAAAGCAAGAGAGTACAAATACATTTTCAGTCAGGATTAAAAAACCACTAAGTTTGAGGCAGACCTAATGGTTATTCAGAAACAGAATCAGCTTTATTGGTATGTTGAACACACGGGGAATATGACTCCATTACAGTGGCTCTCAGTGTCTCAGTGTGCTTCCATAAGACAACAAGCAAGCAAGAACAAGACTTGGTCCTGCAATAGCAAAAGCTCGATCACCTCTGAGCTCTGGATGTAAGTTGAGGTTAATTTAATGTTTGGTCTCTGATGCCACAGTCAACAAGCAGTTAATCTCAACTCATTTCCAGAGAATCGACCAAGGCGCATCAACCAGAAACTTGTTGGCAGACTAGGACCACATTTGCACCTGTACCCAAAAAAAAAAAAACCTGCTCAGTTCTCTGTAAATGATTTGATCTTCACTTCTTTTTGACTGTGGTGTCAGACCAAATGCCAAGTTAAAAATTTGTCACATGATGTGGGGGTTGATATGTGATGCTGATAAATTATTGTATACTGAGTCATTTGGTAATACTTGTTACTTAAGTTATGTGGCATTTGTTTCCTGTCAAAGGAAACCGTTTCAGATATAAAGATTGAGAACATGTATCTACATCTGAAGTGGGACCCTATGTATGTGGTATGTTGTATTTATATACATGTTGTCCACTTCAGATGTAGATACATGTTCTCAATCTTTATATCTGAAACGGTTTCCTTTGACAGGAAACAAAAGCCACATAACTTAAGTGACACACATCAGGTATCACTTGACTGTTGTCACATGCACGAAGTGAAGGAAAATGTGGCGTTACATGTTGTCCATGTAACTGATTTTATTTAAATTCAGGTGCAAATTTTTCACTTGATTTGTTGCACACAACATATACATAACACACTTGTGTATATATTCAAAGGTCACAGGTTTTTAACATTTAACATTGACATTAAAGGACTCATCTTAACATAGGCCTATGTCCAAAATTCTTTACCAGGTACATAGTTAAATTTAATTAAAAAGGTAAACAACATGGCATTTACCATTTCGTAGTCATAGTGACATTGGATGGAGAGAGGAAGTAATTAGTTCTTTAAAAACAGTTCTTCATGATAAGTAAATCGTCACTATTAGTGCCAGTATGAAAATGACGTGACTCATATGCTATGACCTTCACAGTTACCAGATGTCAGCTTTGGTGAACACCTGTGGGAGGTTTTGGAGTGATGTGTTAGACAGCATCTCCACCACTATCATCAAAACACCAAATGAGGGAATATCTTTTGAAAGAATGGTGTTCATCCCTTCAGGAGAGTTCAGAGACTTGTAAATGCCAAGGTGCACTGAAGCTGTTCTGGTGGCTTATGGTAGCCCAACACTTGAAAAGAAAACCCATCGTGAAGTGTCCTAGTCATTTGTCACCCTCTGTACATTAAGCTGTGTGAGTCTCTCTTCTGTGACTGCACAATCCATTTATTTTCCATAACCTTTCAGCAGACTACATTCCTCTGCTTCTGGCGAAACATGATGAGCTTCTTATTGTTTTCAGTGAGGTAAACAAACGTGCTCTGCCGTTCACTTACCGTACTTCAGCAGAAATCCAAATATATATGGCTAATGTAGCAATGCAAAATGTTCACTATAAAAATGTACACCATAAATGGAGCTAAGAAACTAGTTATAAAATTGTTTATTAGATTATTTTTCTTGGGACTGATGACCATATAAATTTATTGTTTCATCTATATTTATTCTTTAAAATGTTTGTCACTTTACATTAGGCTTAATTGTAACCTTTCATCTTAATCTGTAGCCTAATATCTTGACAGTTTCCTTTAACAGGAAACAAAACCCACAAAAGTCACGTCAGAAGCAGCACAAACATATGAAGTACACGACACAGCGATACTCACACATAGAGGAAGAGTGGATGTATCCTGTTTGTGCGCCACGATGCCAATGCAACTGCTTCTGCTTCTCTATCTGATTGGACATGTGTTTGCCAAAGAACCACCAGGTAACATTTAAAATCCATCCATCCATTTTCCTCCGCTTAACATTTAAAATAACATTTTTAAATTATGGACAATTTATAATTGTTTTTAACCTTTCTGAACTTGTGTGAGCAGCTTTTCAATTTGCGTAATGGCAGCTCTGATCATATTTTCTATGTGGATGTCACAATGTGAAACTCTATTACATGTTAATTGATTTTCTAACATTTGTAATTTATAACAAATCTCTGTTCATTACCTGAGTGGCTTTAATTATATTTTTGATTACTTTCCCAAACATAAAACTAAGATTTGAAATTGGAGAACAGCACAGCAGCCTTGAAATATAATTAAGCCATGATAAGTGAATAATCAAACTTTTATTAAAATAAAATCAGCTTAAAGGTAAAGCCTTAGTTTCCCGGTCATGTAGAAATTCCCCTTGATGACACGGTGCTGCCATTTCCTCATTGTGTGTAGATATGTGCCTGAGAATGAACCGCTACTACACGAGTGTAACCCTAATGACTTCTGGTTTATTTTCCTCATGACATTTATACCGATTTTAATGCCGATCATTTTTAATATTGTTTCTTACCTCTCTAAGCACTTTGAATTGCTTCCGTGTATGAAATGTGCTTTATAAATAAAGTTGCCTTGCTTTATTGTCATATACTGTATACCCTCTTGTGTCTGACAGATGTGGAGTGTCGGGTGGTGTACCTTGAATATGTTGAATGTTCCTGGAATAAGCAGGGGACTCCAGACATCAACTACACTTTCTCCAGCTGGTTTGTAATTGGCAGTGTCCTCATAACTAAACTGACCTCACTGAAAGGAGGTTGAAACATGTTTCTTATTCACACTGAGCAAAGAACTTTTCTACTCAAAAGTTAGAGCATTAATTCTTGTAAGTCCTGGATGCCTGATACAGGTCCTGATATCTCGCTGCAGCAAATTAGAGAAAATAACTGAAAGTACAGCTTGTTATAACAGAAAATTTAACTACTGATGTTCCGAGGCTGAGAGGATATGTGGCTGTTTATGTTGCCTCTTAAACTCCCAACATCCAATATTCCTGCTCTACCTTTCACTGCTATATTTAGAGTTGATATGGCTGCAGATTGTGCTTTGTGTGAATGAATAAATGATTTCTGCACAGGTTCTACAATGACAAAGAAACTAACTGCACCACCTATGTGTTGGAGAACGGCATAAAGACTGGATGTAAGCAACCCTATGGCAATGACAACAAGAGGTTCCTGTCATTTTACACGACACTGGTACATGGAAATAAGAGTACTACGAAGGGTCACGAGCTTAAAAATAAAGGTATGCTTATTTATCGAGGTGCAACATAACATTGGAAGGTACTTTGTTTTAAATTGATGGGAGAGTTTACACCTTCTGCAACTGTAACTTAAATCAGGGGTTTTTACTAATTGACCCATAGACCACCATTCTGACTATGCAGTAACCAGAAGACCACTGTTGTAGGATGGCTACACCAAATGGGCACTATTTTAGTCCTGAAATTCACCTTGGCTTTTCTAAATTTTATACATTTCCTTGAAATTGATTATTCAAATACATGGAAATGAGTAAAAAAAGAAAAATCCTACAGTGAAACTACAGGGTGGGTGAAAACTAGGCATTAAAAAGTGGCTATAGAACTTGTCACTGGAGTCATGATTAAAGTCTAAATAGACGATAGTAAATCCTCTTTTCTCTAAATAGACAATAGTAAATAGGATGTATATTAAATGCATGATCAGGGACCATCTGCAATGCCTTCCTTGACTACTAGGGGCCACAGACCACTGGTTGAAAACCCCCACCTTAAATCTGTCATTTTCCAGAAAAGGAAATACCATACAAATATTTTGACAGAAGCAAGCTATAAAAATAAGTAAATGTACACTTGCATCTCTCCGTTATATCACATTTTATACTACATCCTCTGTCACTGAATGGTCGGTGTTGTCTCCAGTCTTGTTATATCCACCAGTCAACGTGACAGTCAAGAATGGATCTGACTTTAACCTGTGGTTTTACTGGAACCAGACTAAATCAAACTGTGCTGAGAGTGATGTTCGTTACAGAACCAACAAAAGAAAGTGGGAGGTAGGCAACTCCAGTCGTTTTAATCATTTTTCATTCATTGCCCAATAATTTGTCTTCGTTTCCACTATTGTCTTCTCATCTCCATATTATTTTCCACAGCATACTAAAGTCAGTAGTGGTAGGCAGATTTTCTGCATCAACTTGCCCTCCAGTAATTCTGAGTATGAGCTGCAAGTGCGGAGCAGAATCGGGAAAGACTGTGGAGAGTCTATATACTGGAGTAACTGGAGTGAGCCTGTGGTCTGGGGATCCAACAACAGCACAGGTAAGATTCCCTTTATGTACTGAGCAAATGAATTGCTAACCTCTGCCAAAAGTGCATTTTCCAGAACATTGTACAGTTATTACAGAAAACACCTGGGTCTGTCAAACTATTGTGCTGATCAGATATTTGACTAGATTTTACTCTTATTTTGTATACAGTCCTTAGAAATGTGCATGTTCTATTGTGAAACACATTGATAAATGGACATGAAAGGAAGGAAGATCTTTTGATTTCCATCATGTAGAATTGGCATTGACAGTGTGTAGCTCTGGTAGAGATATGCACTCTAACACAATATAGATTGGCAAATTAGTTTTCAAACCCAGAAATACAATTGAGGAGCCATTAATGGTTATCTTAGACCTTAAACTAGCCCATGGACAGTATGTAATGACCTGTATGGACAACAGGTGTTAGGTGTCAGGCAAGGAAGGACCCAAAATGCAGACATGGTCTAGGGTCTATTCCCATGGTCAAGGTTTGTATAATCAAACACAGCTGGACTCGAAGGTGAAGAACCATCTCAGCGGTGATCAGAAGAAATGGACAGCACCTAAGTTAAATATATGAGTGTCACAGCAAAGGGTCTGAATACTTATGACCATGTGATATTTCAGTTTTTCTTT